ATTTTGAATATTTGATATTGTTTATTTATTGTTTTTTATAATTGAAGGTCATTCGGTCAAAAAACATTGAGCTGAGTTTTTTTACCCAAAATTATGATTTGACTGGACTTTTTAACAAAGAGTCCCGTACGTATTTGAGAATCACTCAATTTCTCTCATCTCAATCGCAAAATGATTGAGATTCTTAAATTTAGCCGAATTACTATATCATCAACTCTTCAAGCTTATTACAATAAAGTAAATTTCAGACAAGGGTTTCCAATATATTCCCCCACCGGTCACCCGCTTCACTCCACACCCAACATCCCACTGAGAAATTCTTGAAGTTGAACTTAAGAACTGTTTTGGATTGAAATTCAGAACCCATCAGTCAGCCCCAGTTTCACAACCATTCAATTCAAACTCTTTTTTTTTTCTCTACGTAGTCATTTTCAACCACACATTCGCACAATAAAATATTTTAATTGTAAACCTAAAAGTATGATCGTCAAACTGGGCTGAAACGAAAAGCAAGAAGATGTCATCGAGTGCAAGTGTTGAATCAGTAGTGCCTCTGAAAATGGGTTTTTTGCAATGAAAGTTTTTAAATGCTTATAAAAGTTTTTGCGTCACCTTGAGCTCCGACCGAAATGGGTCGAAGAAGCAAAGTGGATTTGAGGAGGAAGAAACTTCAAAAAACTAGGGGCTGGCTCGCCCCGGAGACAAGGGGAAGAGAAGAGGTCAACTTTGAAGTTTCTGGTGTGATATCATATTTATGGTTTTGCAACTTCTGACTTCGGGGAATTCAGTCTAACCCGACTAAGCTTTTGCAGAGCGACCCCACCTACATAATTTCCTATCTGAGTGTACTCAATCCAAATTAAAATTTTTTAAATCGACCCAAACCAGATTTTTGATTTACGGGTTTTTTTTTTTGTCCAGTCTTGGAGGATGTTGAGAAAAAATCTTCTCTACTTTTCATGCCAAGCCAAAAAAGAATGTAAAATATTGTACAAAAATCAAATCGCCAACTCAGGCACCTTTTTCTTTCTTATTATTCCTTGAGCTTATCTACGCACTATCGTCGCGCTTTTTGCTGTTCGTCGTCTTTCTTTCTACACTAGAATATTGTTCTTTCCTTCCTTCTACTCTTATATTATTTCCATTTTTAACTAAGTTTTTCTTCTTCTGCACTCTAGAGATTGCGTCCATAATATAATAATGCAATTAAAAATATGGACCTCGTATACGTCTCCAATTTGTTTATTACATTCTTTTTGGAATTAATTGAGTACTAAGTAAAGAATTCACATACTCCTTCCTTTCTACGTCTGTATTTTTTTAATTTTCTTGATTGTCTTGAATAATTTTATTTTTTTTCTTTTTGATTAGTTGAATATTTCGACTTTCTTCTGTAGATGCCTTGTACATTACTGATTCTGTGACAGAATTGAGGACCGCATTTTACATGGAACTTATTTTCTGCAACTGGGTTTGGGTATTTCTTCTATACTGTTGGCTCATCTTTGCAGTTGGATTCTCCGGTTAGTTCTTGGAATTTTATGTTTATATTTCGAGGTTTATTAATTATAAACATTGTACAAGGAAAATGTTAAGAAACCAGAATGTGATTTGTTTTGTTTTTGAAATTCCTTAATTTAAGTGGAAGGACTACATGGAAATTCAAGAGTAAGAGGGGTGAACTTGGGCGGATGGTTGGTCATTGAAGGGTGGATAAAACCTTCTCTTTTTGATGATATCCTCAATGGAGACATGCTTGTAAGTTCATCTCTTCAAATTTTTACTTGCTTGTGCTCGTGCCTAGCTGGAAATGTTTAATGGCTAATTTTATTATTCGTAGAGGATGCTAATTTTTTATGAAGTCCACAGGCACAAGGACAAATTTATTTATTAAATTATATCTTCCATATCTCCCCTCACATAATACTAGATTCACTTTCATTTGTTTCATCAAAAGCACCACATGTGCATGGCTTTCGTTTTGAGCCTTGAATATAAGACCTATGCTTGCTCTAATGTCATAGCAGACCACTTCATCTGAACCTTCAAGGTGTTATAGCGGACAAACTTATTTATTTAAAATATAGCTTCAACATTTTCTGATGACTAATCTGGTTTAAGGTGACTTCGATGTAGGATGGAACAGAGGTTCAATTCAAATCAGTGACTCTGCAGAAGTATATTTCTGCTGAAAATGGCGGCGGCTTGGAGGTTAGGGTTGACAGGGATATTGCTTCGTCATGGGAAACATTTCGGGTCAGAATCACAATTGAATTGCTCGTTGTTAATAATCTTCTAGTAGATATCTCCAATCACAAATTTGTGACTATTGAATTTTTCAACCAACTATATAATGCTTTATCTTAATCTTAATATTTCCAGAGTAGTCAAGTTGTCCTGGTCTAAGATAACTCAACCTTTTACTACTATAATGTCAGAATTTTCTTTGTTGGCTATGAAACACTTTAAATGTTTGTTGTGAGAGTTACCTGATTTTGAGGTTCAAAAGAAGGAAACTAGATTCTAGCTAAATAAGATGAATTAGTGAGCCTGATCCTAATCCTAATCTCCAGGCTTAATAATAGTGAGTATTTTCTGAAATTCCTCTGTTGATTGATGAAATAATGAAGAAGAAACTACAGCAACAACTGGGCTGAAAGTTGCAACTTCTTTAATCTTATAACTTCTTTCATAGAAGTCAAAGGAGCTGGTGATTCATCATCCAATTAGTTGGCAATTTATTTTGGGGTATGGATCACTTATAGCTTTTTCCTTTCCTTCTTTCCTTTTTTTGATGATAATTTTATTCATTTTTCTATTATCATTATCTTTTTGCAATCTTAAGGATTGGAGCTGGGTGCCAAACCTTCTTAAAATTTTGTTATTTTAGTCTCATAGTGAATGTGATAATTATTTAGTCGTTCTTTGTTATTATCCATACTGTGTTGGATAAATATTTAGATTGTCTTGTCCATAAAGTTCAGCTAACTTAAATAGAGAAACCGCTGCTCATGTTTTCTTGAAAGTTAGAAGTTCATTTCCTTTGACGTGTGAATATGTTCTGGTAATGAAATGCACATAGGTTGCATAACTCATGAATTTCTTTGGATCAGTTATTTAATTCATTTCTTTCCCTGCAGTTATGGAGAGTTTCTGAGTCAGTCTTCCAGTTCCGTACCTCTCAAGGTCAATTTCTGACATGCAATGCTGATGGAGGCAATGTGACTGCAGCAGCAGAATCAGCATCTGTTACAGAAACATTTTATATAGAAAGAAATCTTAACAATCGAGTTCACATCAAACTGAAAACTGGAACTTATCTACAGGTATGATTCTCATCCATTTACTCCATAAATCAGAGCTCTGTAATTGTGTTAGAGAAATCCTTAAATTGGATATGACCACCAATCCTAAAAACTAATATTGTTTTGCTTTGTTACGTTCTGCCTGGAGTTTGAATTAAGTGCAAGTTAGGGAGGCTGTTTAAGCAAACCTTGTTTCCCATTGATTTAGAAGGACAACATCTTTGAATTTTCTTGCTGGACTACGAGCTCTTAGTATTATTTTTCTCAAAGGAATGTCGAAGCAATAAAATTTGAGCAGCCTTTTTGAAGGAATAATAGTCTAAACCTTGCCATGTGAACAAAAATGGAAAAATATAAATAGGAGAAAAGTGACAAATTGGTTGAAATAATCCAGATCAATTATAAGCATCGAACCCCCAAATGATGAAAATTTTCATTGTGCTTATCAAGATATGCCAAACACGATATGGTCCTATGGATACACTAAAACACACAGTATGATCTTTATTGGTCATTCTCTATAAAGCCAAGTTCCCACTGTTTGATTCGGAATGATTTACAGCTACCAGAAGCTCTACAATTGTTTTCTAGTGTTCTTCCCTACAGATTAGTACTCGGCCACCATGAAGTCATCAACATAATGGACCTTGAGTTTCATCAAGCACTCAAATGGATCTTAATTGAGCGTATATATCAAAAAATAAAAAATATAACAGCATTTACCCAATTTGTTTAGGCTTTAGAAGCCAACCAGCTTACGGCAAACTATCTAGGGACACCAGGATGGGATGATAATGCTGCGACATTTGATATGATAATTGTATCAAATACTTTGCATGGAGAATACCAGCTTGCCAATGGACATGAACATCACAAGGCGAAAGAAATTTTTAAGGTAGATTTTCTCTTGGTTGTGGTTCTTTGTTGAATCCTTATTAAGCATTGATCAATTTCTTGATGCTATAGCACAAAAAACTATTTTCTTATATTATGGATATTGATTTTGAGCTCTACTTACACATTACCTCTCCCTCATTGCCTTAAAAGAAGAAATAAAGGCCCGTCTGATTCTCATTATTATAGAATGAGAATGAAAAATATAGTCGTTATTGAGCCCCACACAAGAGATAGAAATTCAAAATTGATTGCTTGATGTGATGGGTAACGGTCATATTTTTCATTTTTATGGATGAAAAATAAGAAACAAACGGAGGCTAAGAAAGAATTACCACAATTACGCCATATGAGAAATTTAGGAGAAGAATATTCTTCGCTTTTGTTCATATTCTGCTATATCTGGTGCTTTTCATAGCTAATTGGTTGAAGCCATCATAGTTTCCAATGCATAACACTCATAAACATGATTCCACGTGTAGAGATGGAAAGGATTTACAGTAATTTCTTGTTTTGGGGGAAGAGTAACCTTAACACCTTCACGGGGAGAATTAGCATGTAAAAGTGGTACAAATTTCTGAACTATTTTTACAAAAGCTTGTTAATATTCATAAAAATGTGAGGTCCTTGTACCCTTCTTCCCATCTCATGTGTTATACCTGCAGACTAATAGCCATAATCTCTGCTCTCTCTTGCCATTGTTTCTCTAGTTCATGTATAACTGGCTATGCATGTAATTGACATGAAACTTGTGGAAATGATCGAGTTCTGATAATTGAATCTAAAATATTTTATTTCGCCTGGATTTTCGAAAGAAATTTTGGGTGAAGTTATTTTACATGCTTTTTCATAATAATCAAGTCCTTAAAATCATCACTCACCAGATCTAAATTAAATAAAAATCTGTGTCCATTAATCAAAAAAATCCAATCTCAACTGAGGACGGATGGGGTGGAATGGAAGAATGATTCTTGATGGTTTGTTCTAGTTATTTGATTTGGCAAAAAATGATGCCTGATGGTTTGTTCAAGTAGTTATTTAATTTGGCAGTTTCAATTGCAAAAGCATTGAGGGATATTAGCTGAAACATTTTGAATTTATGTTGCACTTGACTCCATTACATCAATAGTTATCTCATTGTTACTAACAACATGGCGGAGAAAGAGAGAAAGATATGAAATGGATATCATATGACTTCTTCTAGTAATTGTTTGACTTAGATGGGTGAGACATACCTTACATAGATCCAGGGTACTTGAGGTTCCTTAGTAATTCTACAAGGTTATGTCTCTCATAAGGGGAATGGATCTTTCAAGTTCAGAGAAGGCAGCCATGGCCATGATTTTTTTTTAACTCAGGAATAAGGTTCCATTATTTATTTTTAATTTTGACCTGAAATCATTGTTTTGACCATATTGATGTTTTGCTTAGAAACTTCATGTGATTGTTACCATTGCCTGACCACTTAAGATCTACCTGGATAATCAGCACCCCTTGCCTTCTCCAACGCACCGTCTGGAAGGTGAACACAAAACACAAAGTACTATTTTATGTCTGTAGATCACATTAACATCGGCATATGATAGCAGAAAGGATGTTTTGGGAAGATTTTATAAAAACTAAAAGTGAGAACATGATGGTTCACCAGATGTGATGGGAGGTAGCGTTATCCATTTATGTTACAAACTCAATGCCTAAATAAAGGTTTAGGACCTTTAGGTTGGAGCTGATTGGGGGAGAGTTGGGGGGATCAACCCTAATATATACAAGTTCTTTGGAAAAGTTGGTGTTAAGGTTGTCTGCATAACGTATTTGTAGCTTTCTTATCTTAAATGCTCATCTTTATTCAAGCTTTCATGTGGCATACTGCCAAGATAGTGGACACGTAGGTTATGTTTTTCAAATTACAATGTTTTTGCAGAGATACTATATTACTTGTTATCTTCATTTCTCCTGCAGAAGCATAGAAACGCATTTATCACTGTAGAAGATTTCGATTTCCTGTATAGGCATGGAATAAATACTGTGAGAATACCTGTTGGCTGGTGGATAGCTTTTGATCCGAATCCTCCGGCTCCTTTCACCGGGGGAAGTTTGGAAGCACTTGATAATGCATTCTTATGGGCACAGTACGTAGGTCTTATATCATTCTCGTTTCTTTTTCCACTCCTCAGACTTTCTGGAATCCTGAGGTTTGCATGTTTCGCCCCCTTGTAATACTGGTGCAGAACCTTCAGCATAAAGTGCATAATTGACCTTCATGCAGCTCCAGGCTCTCAAAATGGGATGGAACATAGTGCTAGTCGAGACGGGACGACAGGATGGCCTACATCACCAGATCATATCTCACAGACACTGGATGTAATAGATTTTCTTGCTTCCAGGTAGATTCTCAAGTTACTGAATTGTAGTACTAGTAGCCAACTAGTTAATTTCCCTAATAGTAATACAATCTATCTAATCTTAGCATTGTAAAATGATGTTGCTTTAACGTGTACAAAATTGTATTCCACAATTCTATTCCTGATAGTATTTTGGGGCATTCTGTCGTGTGAAAATTGATTACCACAATATAAACATCAAAATACAGATGTGTTTTAGATTCTGAAATTTGAAAGAATTTATTTCACCTAATGGATTGCTGTGCCAGAAGGAGAATATTTTTGATTCCCTTTCCTGGATCTGCAAATGTTAATGAATTACAATTTGAGGACAAGAAAGATGAAGGATGCTGGAGTCAAACTCAACAGTAAAAAAATGACATTTATACTAGCAAAACTACCTCTTTAAGAATAGGTGATAATATGGGCCTTTTGCTCCTAGGTGTTCCATTATCTGCGTCTAATTTCGCATGGTCCACTGTCCTCCCTTTTACCTTCAACTCTGAAGGCATGTTTGTTAGCCGGTGTTTGAAAATACTGTTCAGTACAGTACATAAGATTTCAACTTCTTTAATCTTATCCGGAGCGGTCGAGTGCAAACATGTCATGATATTCATGTACCTAGCTATAGATCACTTGAGTCACTATGCACTAAGTCCTCCTTTGTAACTAATAGGAAGTAAATCCTCCATTTTAGCTGATAGGAAGTACATCCTCAATGGGATAGCTTCAATAAAGCTAATATCAGGTTTGCAAGATCAATTATTTCATTAAGGATATCAAATCATGTTACATAGTTGTACTGCTATATAGCTGGTTGTCCTTTGTTTCTCTCTGGTTTAAGCTGCTTATTAGCTCTCACATTTCATTTTCTTAATAATTTTTTTCCTATTATCGACTTACAGTTGGGATTTACGTACAATTTACTCTTTTTAATTATTTCATCTTCTTTTTTTATTCAATTGAGCAAATGGGGTATTTTTTTTTGTATTCTCAATATATGTTTGTATGAACTGGCACACTACAAAGATAATTCATCAAGGCATGAATAACTCTTTCGCAGGTATGCCAATCATCCTGCCTTGCTGGGGATCGAACTTTTAAACGAACCATCAGCAGGCTCTGTTCCTCTGGATATCCTGGTTTCGTTTTACAAACAAGGATACCAGATTGTTAGAAAATACTCATCAACAGCATATGTATTGTTCTGCCAAAGAATTGGCAATGCAGATCCATTTGAACTCTACCAATCCAACTTAGGCTCAGAGAATACAGTAGTTGATTTGCATTTTTACAATCTGTTCGACAACTTTTTCGCTAACACAAGTTCTCTAGACAATATTCAGTATATTTATAAGAATAGGGAAACACAGTTACAAGCTCTGAATAGTGCAAATGGACCGCTTGTCTTTGTTGGTAAGCTACAATAGTCATATTTTTTATTTAGTAATTTATTTGACCTTAGAATCTCAGTTTACAGTTAACAGTCTACATTCCTCCATAAAGTAGTGATGAGACTAACTGATTGCAGGGGAATGGGTGAACGAATGGAATGTCACCAGTGGATCCCAAACAGACTATCAAGAATTTGGAAGAGCTCAGTTAGAGGTATATAATGCCGCCACCTTTGGTTGGGCTTACTGGACGCTAAAGAACTACAATAAGCACTGGGATTTTAAGTGGAACATCCGGAACAACTATCTTCAACTACAGCTGGGTAAGTGTATTGTTTACTGCTATCTGCTTCGTCGTGGAACATAAATCCTCAGAGCAGTTGCTCATGACTTGTTTGTCAAGGCGGACTATATAGTATTTGCACAATCATGTGAAGCACTGTGTCTACATGTCAAAACTACCTATAAATCCCACCTCCTTCGATTTTTTTTTTTTTTTTTGTTAAATCTGACATTATAGTGACATCATTTTTCTAAATTTTTATAGTAACTGAGAAAATAGAGCTTTGCACTCAATTTCTTTGATATGATCTAACTGCAGATTGCACATACATTTTCTGCAGGTTGTTCATCGAGCAAGCAAATTTTGAACCTTGTATTGTTGCTCGGATTGGCATGCGGCTGCTATTTTCTGCTTTGATTATTGTACTGTAGGGCAGCAAAGTAGCTTTAATGAGACTATTCGTTGTTCTTTTGTTGCTCATCACAAAAAATGCAATTGATGAGAAACAGCTAATTTTTATCTGGCTTTCATCTATCAATGAAAATAGTGTAAATATTAAGTTTTTGATTGAAAAAATGAAAAATAAATAAAGGTCCTCACAGCTTATACGTGTGCATCTTGAATAGTTGGAAACTGAAGTTAGAAAAATAAATATTTTTCATCTCTAATAATATTAGATCTTGGACGTGAGAGTTCACTCAAATTGAATTTTTGAACTATATAAGTATTCGTATTTCTCAAGGGTTGGATGATTATACGCGTTTGAACAATGTTCAACTTAGAAAGATTAGAATATGATTTAGGGAATTGTCATCACTTTGTTCAAAAGTTACAGTCATGACATCAGTATTGCAATCTGCCCTATATGACTCAGAATCAAGCTTGAGGAATTCACCCTAAGCGCACTCCTATGAACTCACTCGTTTCAAGATTGCTCATGCATGATATACAAGCAAAGTCATTTGCGATATTAACTCATAAAGATCAACGGGCATGTCCCGTTAGGATTTGATTAGGATGTCAAATACGATTAGGCGCCCACACTTTAGGTAACCTAATAGTAGGTTCGGCATGGATAGAAATTTTTGTAAGCTTTTTATACATTGATTTTAACAACACTTTAAATAATCAACGAAGCATATTTTGATACATTTTGGAATGTCAAACTTATTGTACTCAAATAGTGTGCAAGTAGTTTAATTCAAAAAATTAATTTTTAAATTGTTTTCTTAAAAAAAAATAACTTTTTTAAGTACAACAAACATAATCTCTCAATCTAGTTTAAACCTATGCTTATCAGCACGATACCTCAAGTAATCAATTGTTCTTAAAAAAAAATCCACCTAGGTAGACAAAATGTAATCCCTTTAGGATTATTCTTCTCTAATCATGATCAATTTTAACACTGGCAAAAAAAATTACACTGTTTTAAGAAATAGGGTTTAGCCCTTGTTTGATATAGAGTGAAAATTGACAAGAAAATTTAATTAAAAATTAAAAATTAATTTTAATCGCATTTTTTTTTTTTGAAATCCTCAATTTTAACACATATTTCATCATTTTTTATTATTAAAAATTTTAACATGAATAGAGACAAAATATTTCCTTGAAATTGGGCACTTTTTTAATGTAAGATTTGCTTCCCCCTTTTCAAGATTACGGACCAGAGTAAACAGTAGTAGTGGTTATCCCTCTAAGCACAAAAAAGGATTTTTCCACGTACGTCCCATCCAATTTTGTCGAGACAAGGAAAAAGTAAGTTAGATAAAGTAAAATAAAATGGAGACAAAGTATCTAATTTTCACATGCTTGCTTCAAACATTTGTGATCAAACTTTTATTCTTTGTTGTTTGTATAACGGCAGAAGGAATCAAGAAAAGCTCATGCAACAAACGCACCAGTTTAATTAACAAGCATTATACTAAAATAAAAAAACAATACTATTTTCCTGAATTTTGTAGTTATTACCCAAGAAACTGCTAGAAAAGTACTCATGTATAGGGACGGAATATTAATATTAACGACGAATTTTTTATTTTTTATTTTTGTCATGAAAAATCAAATGGGAATTTGTCTCGGTTTGGTGACTAATTCTCAACGAATTAGTCTACAGATTGCTGAAATTAGCAATGTAATTCTTTTGTTGGAAAATGGTAAATTTCATCGCGATTTTGGGTTCAAATTCTTATATTTGTTGCTGAGTAAATCAGCAAAAATGACAAGTTTAGTATATTGTATAACAGGTAAATGCAAACATCCATTGAAACATTTTATCAAATCAAAACCATTGAAGAAAGCAACATTCATTAGTCAGAAAATTCTAGTACACTACATTAGGAGAAAATGGTCAAGACTTAAGAGCCTAATAAGTAATAAGAAACACTCAAAGTCAGCGTTTAAGGATTGCAAATGAAGTGTACCCTATTTATTTATTTTTTCTCTTAAAAAAATCTAATTACTTTATATTTAAACAGTGTTAAGAATTAATGTTTCATTTTAAAAGGTCAACCTTATTAAGAGAAGTAATCTAATCATTTATAAGTTGGTTTATGTTTACATCTTTATTCGATGTGGGATTCTATCCCTTAACATGCCCCCACAAGATGGTGGATTGTTTGAGCAAGATCAATCTTGAAATCCGTATGCTCACTTTTTGGAGTTTTAATCGGATCGGATTGCTCGTTAGAGTTTAATGGGCTCTAATACCATGTTAAGAATTATGGTTCCATCTTAAAATGTCAACCTTATTAAGATGAGTAACCCAATCATTTATAAATTGGTTTATGTTTACATCTTTATTCGATGTGAGATTCTATCTCTTAACAAACAAATAATTAATGTGTTGAGGTCCAAATTAAGCTCTTTTTGATCACTAGTGTAGTTCAAAAATGTGTCCACACTTGATGATCTTCCGCCCTGCACCCACCCCCAAGTATATGCTTCAACAGGAATCACACAAGGGTAGATTAGAAACGTCTGGTAAAATCAAAAGAAAGATCGATTGTAAAAATTTAGAAAATTGACGAAATTATAGATATTTGTAATAAAACATTAGTTTCCCCTCTAACATGCCATCACCAGAATTTTGGTTGCTTAAACACCCGAACAAGAAGTACATGAAGATAAAGCCATGCAGAAAATTAGGACTTTAAAAAGAGTGGCGTGCAAGTCCAAATTAAAAGGCATATACATTGAGGAAAAAGAGCTAAAAACTTCCAAAAAAAAAAAAAAAGGGAAGAAGAAAAAGAAGACATGCATTTCCATATTCCATGGAAGTGAAACTCATCGCGATCGGAGAAAGAAAATACTTAGCTCCTGCCCAATATTACCATCAGGATCAATCAAATGAAAAGATTCAGAATCATATGATCCATGAACTCTTTCAAAATTTCCCCTAAGGTACATAATATCATCATTGCGAGTAATTTCCTTGTCGTTTATAACGCCTGCACCAACGATAACTGATTCCATTTGCCGTAGAATTTCTATATCTTCCCTGGGAGGTTTTCGCTTTACAGCAAACCCTACTTTTCTTCCATTACAGTACATGGTCCATAGTGGCATAGACAAGAGAGAATTTGAATCTAATGCATTTTTCCTCGTTGCGTTACACTCAAGCACGATTCGAAGAAATCCTCCCTTCATTTCCCTAGCAAGAACACTTGTTGGGACTGCCATTTCTAGGAGTAGAATCGGATTCAAGGATTTAGGGTTTGTTTGGATGCATAGGCTAACTTTTCCACGTCGATTGCCATAAATTGTGCCTGTAATTATGGATGAGGAAATGAAAGAATTCTTTTCGTAGAAGAATTTGTTTATGTATTTTTCTTCCTTGAATTCATTGTTTTCTTCTATGAAGCAGTTGCAGGTTGGAATAAGAAGCTCCATGAAAGAGCGGAGAAGCCTCCACGACCGGACTTGTTTCTGGCAGTCCACGGTGGTGACACCAGTGGTGGTGGTGGTGGTGCTAACTGCCCGATATGACATTATCATGTTGTTAAGCTACCTAATCGGGAGGCTCGCGGAGTTTATATGGATGATAAGAGAGTATATATAATGAATGTGGAATCACATATTTGTGCGCGTGTAAAATTAAACAAGAGACAATAGAATCAGAGGATATGTTTTGATGAAAATAATTATTGAATCGCTTTGTCTTAATGTAAGTTTTTAATACATCTTTTCAATCATCAAATTTAGTTTACTGTTTGGCCTTCGTCATTTTTTTAAAACTCATTTTCAA